AATTTTTTTTTCAGTGTCGATCTTGCGTCTGGACGTACATCGCTGGAATTTGTTACCACTCGGGAGGCCAATGGATCAAAGAAACTAGATTATGTATGAATGTCGACTGAATCAAACGGAATACAAGCTCGAAGGGTGGGTTTGGGTTCCATTAAAACTATAAAATTTCATTCACATTTCAACAAGAAGCCGCATTTCAATTAACATTCTGTTCACGGTCAGCCTAATCTGTAAAATACGCTCAATATTTTATGTGGTTGATTCGCCTTTATTAACACACTTTCATTTGCGACGTGTGAACCCTTTGAAGCACGAAGCTCGTCTAAATAATATTTAAAGAATCCAGTCCGTACCGCGAAGAAAACACAACGCTCTACCATTACAAAGATCAACTGGTTAACGCTGTTTAAGGAAATAATATAATTTATTCTGATAATTAATTAACCATTTAGAGCAGAGACTCGTTCAAATAATATTTAAGAATTCAGCCCGTACCGCGAAGAAAACACAACGCTCTACCATTACAAAGATTAAATGGTTAACGCTGTTTATTCTGAAAATCACACGAAACTCGTAATAAGAAGGAAATCAGAGCTTCTGACTGACGTAAATAATACACAGCTTTAAAGGGTTAATGTAAAAATGTTACAAATACACGTAGCGAAAACAGAAATGTTACAGGTCAAGGTGAATTTCTGCTATGGTCCTCGGACACGGCGCACGTGACGTCAGACGCATAGCTACTGATGGTAACGACGGATTTAAAAATCTGAAAGATCTAATCCTTTAGAACCTTAAAAAAAGTAGCGGACAAACGACGTTTTAACTTTGTTTACTTAGAGCCTTGGCAAACACGAACATTTTCCATGAGAAAAATGCAAGTCTAATATTTGCTCAAACCTGACAAAGGGAGATACTATATACGCCTCGCCTCTCGTATGAGTCATGCGTTCAATGTCAGATTTTACTGCGTACTTTCGAGAGTTGCGTGTCTGCGTTTCATTTGTAAAGATTGGACTGAACTGGGTTTAAATGATGTGACGTCTATGAAACAAAACAAGACGCCAGCACTGACAATTCAATGCAGTTGACATTTCATTCTCGCTAAATTCAGAAGTATAATATTAAAATGGATCTTAAGGACTTAGAGATGGAGGGTGTGGATTGGATTCATATGGCTCAGGATAGGGACCAGCGGAGGACTCTTGTGAACACAGCTCCTCAAGAACAGTTTTCCTCTACGGAAGTTTTTTTAGTTAGTTCGAACTTCAAGTTTTTTTCCCACGATTCTCTCTTGTAGCCTCTCCGGTTCAAATTCTGAAGGGAATTTCCCATGTGGCGATGACAGGAGGGGTGGAGGGTAGCAGAAATCTGTCTGCCACGTAGGATTGTGACCACAGCCTCTTTCGTGTTAACAGCGCGACAAATACGGAGCAGTTTCGAGCCGACAACTGTCTTAATTAGTGACGCCAGGGGTTGGTAACTCTCACCGACGCCTTGCTTTATATGCGTATAAAACTGGCTGATCTCCCACCCTGAGGGAAGGTCTAGTGTCTGAAATCAGGGTTTTTACCTAAGAAGGAATAAGTTACAGGGCACTGGAGAAACGTCGATAATGATGTGTTTCATAACTAAAATTCTTTTCAAATGCTATCAGGGCGATCAAACCAAGGAGAATGGTATGGGCAGGACATGTAGAACGAATTAGGAAAATAAATAAATTTAAAAAAATAAATACAAATTTTTAACCCGAAGACTTTAGAGGGCAGGGATCACTTCGGAGAAGGAAGATAATATTAAAATACGTCTCGGAGAAAATGAGGGTGTGGACCGATTAATTTAGCTCAGGTTAAGTACCAGAGGCAAGGGGTCCTGTGAGGACGACAATGAACGTCCAGGATCTTTAGCGACTACTAGTTTCTCAAAATGGATGGTGACTAATGCAGTCAGTCGGAATTTTGAATCTAACCCCGGTAACGTCCGAAAACCTTTCGTATTAACTTGTATATATATTCAGGCAAGACGTAATCTGCGCATAAAAACCCAATCATCAATCAAGAGTCACAAAAGCTTTATCTACAAAAAAAAAAAGGCATTTAAATTACCAAAGTAACAAAGAAAAACTGTCTCGAAGTAAAGAAACGTTACTGAGTAACACAACTTGCGTTGTACTTAATTAGTAGACCCTAGGGGGCAGTCTACATGAGTACTCAAGTAGGCGATATTGAATAATACATTCACGAAACGAAAATACACAGAAATCAATAACTACAACACGCTAATCCTTGAAAGCGGTCGGCGAGTGTTAACAGTGGCCCGTGAATTCTGTTTCCTCTCTTTTCAGAAGACCGAAGACCCTAAAACCTACCAAATACTCTGCTTTTAATCCATCATTTCAATGCCTTTTCAGCATCGAACAATCATCTCGGGCAAAAATGAACTTACGGACAGTTTTACTAAGCTACTCTGTTCCTGATGCCTTCTCGCTGTTCAGACGGAGAATTTGGCGTAAATACGTCTATACGGAAAGGAAGTTTATGTATTGGCTTTATTCTAAATATTATTATAAATGTAATGTAAGGTAACTATGTAGGTAACCATTGTTGTTTATTTGTTGATAAACAGATGACGTTTCCAAGGTAACAACAATGAAATTTGACGTTTCCTAGCTAACATAACAATGAAGTTACACTTTTTCGTTTCCCTTTTTCGTAACATTTTTGCCGAATGACACTGACCCTAAAATATAGACGTATTTACGTCAAAAAA